ATGCTAGGAGGCCTTGTTAAGGTCAGTTTTCCCGATATACAGAGTGATGCTATGCTAGTGACCGGTTAGGTCGGTAACCCGGTTAGGGTAATGATATGCTATGTGATCTGCTTGCTCGGTTTGTTGACTATGACTGTTATATGAATGTATGTTTTGTGCACATGGTTGTTTGGACTGGAGATGGGTTGAGGCGGGTCCTGCTTTGTGCTGTAGGCCAAGATACCCAGGGCGGACCGGTTGTTCCGAAGGCCCAGCGAGCGGTCCGGATAGGCTGTAGGCCCCACGAGGGCGGACCAGACGTGCCGAGGCTCGGAGAGTGGACCAGGCCGACTGAAGGCCCGATGCGGGCGGACCAGTCACACTGTAGACTCAGAGAGTGGACCAGGTGGGTTGAAGGCCCGATGCGGGCGGACCAACCCCACTGTAGACTCGAAGGACATGACTAGACCTGGAGGATGGATCCGTGGACTGAAGGCCCGATACGGCGGACCAGTCACACGTAGACCCGATATGCATGGTGTTCTATGTTCTGTTATGTTATGTATGTTTTATATGTTTTGGACCGGAAGGTCGTAGCCTGGAAGGGCGTATACGTGGTTGGTATTTTGGGGGTATCTCACTAAGCTTTCGGGCTTACAGTTGTGGTTTAATGTTTTTCAGGTTCTTCAGGAGACTGTGGCAAGGCGAAGGCGCGATCGTACCGCTCCTCATGATTTTGTAGCAATGTGATTCTGGGAATACTCTAATGACTTGTATTGAAAACCTTTTTGTAAACATTTTAATGAAAATCGGTTGTTTTGAAAATTTAAATTGGTTGTATTTTTCGGATGTTACAAGTTGGTATCAGAGCCTTGGTTTGAGTGAATTGGAGGAACACTTGTGTGACTCCAGTCTCAAATCGAGGAGAGTTTTCAAAAAGAGAATTTAAAATGGTTTTCAAAATAAGTAAAGGAGGACGCGGAGGTACGATCAGCCGGAGCCAGTAAGTAACCCCAAAATACCATACATGACAATTGTTTTATTGAGCTTTGATAGAACAGCATGCTAGAGTTAGGCTAGGGATCTTCAGGATTTATTGATGAGTTGCCTGATTTATGATGCCTGCTAGCCTAGGGTTCCTTGTGAGAGATTTCTAGTGTTCCTCTAGTTGTGAGGATAGAGCGTTGTTATGTGTGTCGCTAGGGTGTTGTGGGAGTACTTCATACAAATATGGGTTGGTGTGGAAGGTAGTATGGGCCCGTACTACTGAAAGCACGGACTCATACGCGTATCAGGGAAACCATGACCTCTAGGGTTGGGATGAGAGCTGGTTCCCGGGATAGTGGAATATGTCTGAGATTTGGTGTTTTATTTTCAGTATGGAGATTTCAGGGCACGCTGGGAGTGGATCCGGGTCAGGATCAGGAGCAGGAGAGGGAGTTCCGGGTGGGTCTGTACAACCCGAGGTTTTCAGTCAGATGAGTACGCACGAGTTGGATGCGAGGATTCGTGAGATCTTGCATGATGAGGTTGCTGCATTGTTTCGGGCTGAGCTGCCAGAGTTGTTTGGGTCGATCAAGACCGCCATGGTGGAGTATTTTGATGAGCGCTATGCGGCTCTCACGGAGACGGCTGCCGCGGCGGCTACCGCAGCAGTAGCAGCGGCAGGGGGAGGAGCCAGTAGAGGTTTTCAGTATCGGGACTTCGATAATACGAAGCCTCCCACT